CTTGTATGGACGTGCCCTTCCAATATACTTTGAAGTACTTTGAAGGCATTTCTCGAGGTGAGTTTATTAGACATACCAGAAGTAGTCGGACATCCGGATGGCCGGATACTGAAACCATCCACGTGTGCATTAGGGGGTTTCAATGTTAAAAATGGAGAATGGTCAATGGAGTTTTTTATCGTTACACACGATTTTGACTTATTTTATTGGTCAAAATGATTTCCATCCTCCACCACCATCCTCCATAGGCGATATCTGGTGTTGCACCTCTTTAATGGAAATATTGTATACATTGTAGGAGGTTTTAAAGGTATGCCGCATTTCCAAATCGCGGCCAACATGTCGAATGGTGTTGCCTTCTGGCACAAAGATGTCTGCAAAAACCGGTCATGTCAGTGCGGCAAGTCCTCCATCCAAATCCTTCTGGATTGGTTGTCGGTTTACAACGGGGATGTGTACACCAACTTTGTTCGTTGGCCTGGAGGCACCCGCTCGAAAGACGGCATGAATAAAGTTAGCATTGCTTCCGAAATCTCCCAGATTCTACACCGCGAGCACAGCATTGTGCGCAACATTCGACAGTATCAAAGCCAAGATACAAGAGTTGATCGATTCCTACGGCAGAGCGAAGGATTTCATGGGCCATACCGGCGAAGGCTTGTTGTCCGCTGCAGATGAACGCTATCACGACCCAACTGCTCCAGGCTACTTGGTAGAAGTTGATACAATTCGGGTATGATATGTATATTGGCATATCCTTAATTAGGCTAATATGATCATCGAAAGGATAAGTGCTTCAAGTTGTGCAAGCACTGGGATGTGCTCGAAAAGGTCATCGGCGATAGAGCATCGGCCCGGCCTCTCCTCCGTTCAAGTAACGAAGACGATGACGACTATTCAGTCGACATGCTCAACACATCAACATTATCTGGTAAATATTACTTCGTACTCTACTAACAGTTAATACTAGATGTGGGGTGTTAGAAAAGGGTGATGAAAATATCGTAACTGCAAACGAAACGGCGGAATACGTTCCAGGCTCACCCCCCAAAGCCACCGGAAAAAGAAAGAGCGAACCGGACAAGTTTGGATTTGGCTCGGGGAAGAAGAAGCTGAAGACCGAATCCGGTGGCAAGAGAAGTTTTGGCGTCGGCGAGAGCCTAATGCAGGGGCTTAAGGCCCAGGCTCAAGTTCAGGCAGATTTGTCCCGGGAGGTGCTGGCGAGCCGCGCGGCGGAGTTGCAGCTCCGAAATGAAAATGAAGATCGACATTTTATGCTGCGCATGCGTGAAATTGACCTCAAGGCCAAAGAGCTCAGGCACAAGCAAATTATTGAAGAGGCACGTCTCATGTCGTCCATGTCGTTTGATAAAGCGGATGTGATGGAGTATATTCGTGATGAATTGTCCAAAATTCAATAAAAACAATGAACTCTTGATTTACACGCATATCTACATATCACCGACCGATTCGCTCCAAAAGTGGCGAGCGTACATGTCACGCAGACTGGCAGGATTGACGGAGTTTGCAAGGGCATTGCTGTTTTGGTACACATCATCCCCGTCAGCAGTAGCATCATAGTCGTGCAACTCAGTGTCCCAATTGTCATCAAGGTCTTGCAACAATAAGTTGTGCAAAATGGCCGCGCAACGAATCGTGAGCATCATTATTTTTGCCCCCCGAGGAGTAGAGAGGTCAACTCGCATGCCGCGCAACGACTGAAAACGGCCTTTGAGTAGGCCAATGCAATGCTCGTTGACGTAACGTTCGTTTAGCCAATTTACAATGCTTTTTTCTGCATCCATTGGAAGCGTTGCAGACGTCCTAACTGGTCGCAGCGACGTTTTAAGGCGCAGCAAGGGCCGCATAGCGGTATTTTCGATTATCGCTCTCAGTTGTTCCCATAGATCCGCTTTCACGCTGTCTATTGTACTGTCCCAGTGAGGCCGGGTAAGAAGCACTGACGTGTAGGCTATCGAGTGATCACGGGTAGTGTTAATAATGCACAGCTTCTTCGTGATGGAAAAGGAGTTGATTTTCAATGTAGGCGTCTTGCGGGGTTGATACTTGATGGATAGACGGAGTCACCCCCCGAAACCAGTGGCCTTGCGATGATGTACAGGGCCTTTTGGTCCCGCTATTGCGGTCGCAATGAAAATACTTTACGCGCACACATTTTCATTGCGACCGCAATGGCGGGACCAAAAGGCAATTCTCTTAGAATCGATATATATTTATTGTGGTAAGTTTTTCGCTTATCACAGGTTCCTGTATATTTGTATGATCCAATACTATATTATGGAGGTTTTCAAAGTTCCCACTTAACAAATCAACTACGGTACGTGCGCAATCACGGTGGTATGGAGTGATGCAGGACGGTTGTCTGGAGTTGTAGATCAGGGCAGTACAACACAGTATACCCCCAGAGGTTTGCAAATTGTTAGTATTACACGTACGTTATCCGGGGTGCAGTCGTGGTCCATGGGGGCGGCATCGTAGTAACGGCGTTTGAGCCGGATGTTGTTGTTAACCTCAGTGAGGAGGGGTAGTTCCCCTGCGGTGCGTATGTGGTCCACGTTTGTAGTGCATGTGGATTGCCAGTGTCGGCGGAGGGTAGCCCAGCGGGCGGAGAACCATTCTTTGTGGAAGTGTGGCGCGTGTAGGTGCGTGATGGCAGATGCCCAGTCGCGTGTGGATGCCGTCATGGTGGGGAATATTTTCCAGCCAGTGGAAGCAAGTTATATGGTGGGGTACGTAACCTCGAGGTAGGCGCATGTGTCGTGGGCATATTGGTCGAATGCAGGGATGTCGAGCTGGGCCCAGTGGAGGCAGTGAGTGGGAGCTGTGAGGATCTTGGGGTTGGTGGTGCTGGCGTCCGCAGGTGTGGTGCCTAGTATGGTGGGTGGGGGGCGATGGAGACAGTGGGTAGCATCCATGGGCCTGAGTCTAGTGATGTTTGGCGGGAGTGAGTAGGTCCGGGGCAATGCCGGTGTTTAGGAAACTGAAGTGGACGGGAACGGGGTTGCTAGTGGTGCGCTTGCCGCATTGGGGGGTGGAAACGTGGTGGATGGAGGAGGGGTTGCGTAGGTGATCTGGCCCGAGGGTATGGTAAGGAACCATGTGATCGGGAGGCTGTCTACCAGCGTATGGTCCGGGGAGCCGTCGGGAACAACGAACCAGTATGCGGCCTGCATGTGGCGGGTGGTGTTGTCGCAGATTTGGAGGACTGTATCCCCAGAGTGGTGCAAACCCGCCAAGAGGCTGTGGATTTCACAGCGTGTGGGGGTGATGTGGTCTGGGTGTATACGAACATACCCAACAAGGGTGGTGCCGTCTCGGCCCAAGTAGCTCCATGTGCCGTGGGCTACTGGTTTGTCCTGGTTTGTGACGCTGCCATCACCGACGGAGTGTGTACGTGCGGCAAGGAGGGGGATGGTGTGGAGGCCGTACGTAGGGGTGGAGTGGCGTAGAACCACCTGGCAGTGTGGAATGCAGGCAGGATGGTGCCATTGCCCGCAGTCCATACAGACGGTAGTGTCCGCGATGCGGTGGCAGGCATAACAGGCAGATGTGGCGTGTGGGGGAGGTTGGTGTGCATGTGGGAGCTGGGCCCGGTCGGCGCTGTGCACAACAGTGGAGGCAATAAGGGCGCGGTTGTTGTTGCCGCGGTGTGTGTAGTGCGTGCCCGGATGTGTCTATGGGATGAACTTGGTGGGAGCTGCTGGTGCGGAGGAGGTCGCCTGTGAGTATCGCACACCCTGTAATGGGGACTAGGCGGAGTCGGCTACGGGCTTCGCGTGGTGTAGGTGAGTACCAAATGTCCGATCCCTTTCGGATTTCATGCCAGAAGGAGACTGCGATTTCTGGTCCAGCGGGAGTATGTCGAGTTTGGAGACAGCTACGTCGACCATTGCGGTAGCTGAGTGTGCCGGGTCTACCGTCCCGATGTGTAAGGTAGTGGGGGACGACAGGCATGGCATGGAGTGGGATGTGGATGGCTTCGAAGCCGCGGGAGGGTGTGAAGAACGTGCGACCTAGGGGTTGGTCCAGGTAGGGGAGATGGGGTCGTGGTAGAGTCGGCAGAGGGGGGGCAGCGGCTGACCGGAATGTTGAGAACCCCACTGTATAGTCTGTTGCCGGAGTATAGGGGGTGGGTTGTGTGGTGTAGCTGTGGGGATGGCATCCCAGATGGGGGTGAAGCGTTGGAGTGTTGCGCGGGTCCAGCCATATTTGGTGGGGAGGGATGGAAGGTTGAGCAGCATCGTGCCCTTTTCGTTGGTGATATCACCGACCCACCGGACTTTGTTGGCGTGGGAGCGGTTGATGGAGATGAGGGTAGTGCCGAGCGCTGGAGTGAGGTGAGGCCAGATAGGGCGGTCATTGGGGCGGTGGGGACGGCTAGCGGGGGGTTGGTGCCAGTGCGTGGTGATGGTGAGGGCAGGTTGGAAGGTTGCAAGGTCGCGGAGTAGTGTACCGAGAAATGTAGTGTCGGAGGCAGGTGGGGGGATGCGGAATGCAAGTGGGTGGTCAGTGAGGCCACTCTCGATTTGGTAGGACTCAAGGGATTCCATGAGGATGTCGAGCCACGGTCGTTGGCAATCCGGAGGAATTGGTACAGCCTTTGGCTGTGGCTAAAGCGTTCACAGTGGACGAGACCGACGCCATCAGTGTGGTCGTAGAACCATGAATTTGGATGGTCGTGTGGCAAGCGGAGGATGCGGCGTGCCGTCTTACGGAAAAGAGTGTCGAGGGCTGGGACGATATTGATGGCGTCGCTAGTGGCCGTGCGGTACAGGGCATTTGGGATCCTTAATGATGTATTGGAGCTCCTTTTTTCCAAGCCCCCGTGGGGCAATAGCCGCAGCTTGGGTGTTGAGTTTGAGCCAGACTGTACGAGTGGTCTCCTCTCATTGCTTTGATGGATTGCCAGGTGCCTGAAGCCCTCGGAGGGCACCACGACACATATGGTTTGGGGGTTTCCGAGCCCATCGTTGAGGGCGACTGCAGGGTAAGCATGGGATGAGAGGTAGAAGAGGAAGGATTTATCGGCTTCGAAAGCGCCTCCCGATGCGGATTGTCCAGTGTATTGATTGGAGATCCTAACACGGTCGTGGATGTCTGAGTAGAGGTGGATATGTCAAGTGCGTCGTCGACGAAGAGGAGGCTGGAGATGGTGCGTGTTTGGGTCCCTGAGGGCTGTGTGTGATTTGGACGGGGTCAATGCCAACCTGTTGCTATCGGATGAGTACATTCATGTAGTAGCCAATGTCCCTAAGCAGCCGAATCTTCACCGTTATACGGGATTACATCTCCCCCTGCCTTCCCAATGGGGAGATGCAACATGGTTTTCAGCGGGATCGCACTGTCCAGGACGCCACCGTGCTCACCTCCCTCCTCATCTAACGTGACAAACGACGGATAAGCTCTTCCTTGTCTCCAAGGATTGCTTAAAGTGCTTTGATCGCATCCCTGGTTGGGTCATGGAGTACATATACCGCAAACGTCCCCTCCCTTCCCCGCCAGCTCATGGCCCATTTTCTGGGAGCCAGTCAGATTGACATCCGCACGGCTTTTGGATTGCTCGACGGTGGAATCCGTGAATTCGGCCCATACTGGCGGTCATGCCAATCTGTACCGTGATGAGGTGCCAAGGACGAAGGACGGGGTCGAGGTTTACCACACCGTGGACAGTGGTCGATTTGGTGACGTAGATCATCTGTTTGCGTCCAAGGATCGGGGGAACAAGGCCGGTGCGTAGAACTAGGTTGATGATGGTTCGTTTCCGTTCTCGGATACACGCCCGGGCAGCAATCCAGAGTTTCTGTGAGACCCCCCCATAATCTGGGCACACGTGCGTACGTAGACTGCGGTCACATTGTGCTTGCAAGGCTGCATCGTAGTGATCGGTGTCCCACGTGGTGCCCGTTAGAGTTTGAAAGGCCTGTGCGACTACGTCCGGACAATCCATATCATAGAGGAGCCAATCACGGACAAAGTGTGGTATCTCTAGGCGGTCGGTGTTCAGGCCGGTGTCTAAGTGCCGAGGTCGGGCGGTTTGTTCAGTGGAGGGGGGATCCAGTTGTTAAGCAGCTGGCGGAGTCCTGCTACGCCTTTGTTCCGGTCGGATCTGTAGCGGCGGGGGAGGCATGATTATGACACTCTGGATGGAAATTGGTGGGGTGGGTGCGCCGAGTGCCGACCGGAGGAATTTACGGGTGTGGAGGCCTTGAAACCATGCGGTTCGTTGTTGCACTCGGGTTTGCCGGATACAGGAATTACGCCAGTCACGCCGTTTGCGGCATAAACGTTAGAGCATCTCCAATGGTGTTTATATTTCTATTTCAATTCGAAGTTACGGATATAGGATAGAAACTTTGCATTATCCGGAGGGTTTGTTGCTATTTCACGCGAAAATAGAAATTCTGTGGGACTAAAAAGTCCGGATAGTGCCCGGATAGTGTATAAAAACGAAGTTTGACCCTGTTAACCTACTGTATGTACTGTAGCTAGGTTAGAATTTACCGTTGGAGATGCTGCTCTTAGAATAGGCAATTCACAAATTAATTCCAAGAACAATGCCGCATGGTTGTGGCTGTTAACCTACTGTATGTACTGTAGCTAGGTTAGAATTTACCGTTGGAGATGCTGCTCTTAGAATAGGCAATTCACAAATTAATTCCAAGAACAATGCCGCATGGTTGTGGCATTATAAAATTTCGGTTTACGCCGTTGAAGATCCCAAAATCCGCTCATACCTCCATTTGCCATGCCTGCCTTGACCAAACTCGACTCGACCCTGGATGACGACCGCGTCGTCTGCGTCTTCCACGTGTCGCAGCCTATCACCACCATCCTCAGCAGCTCCATCCTCACGGTGTACATCAGCGAGGCCTCCGTGACCATCGACCACCACAACAAGACGGCTGCCATCAGCGCAGCCGAACTGCGGGTGGAGCAACTGAGCGAGCGAGCCGTGGTACTGCACTGCGCCGATCAAAAGTCGACGGTTCACTTGGAATTTACTTCGCCCCTCGAAGCTCTCCACTTCGTTGGTGCCGTCCACCTCATTCAGCACATCGACGCACTTCGCCACCCCCCGCTGCAAGTCTGTACCCTGGAACATCAGCTGAAACTCACGCTGGAGTACGCAGAAAACCTGTGGGCGACGGACTTGTGGAAGCAGTCCGCATCGTATTACTCGTCCTGTGCTACCCAGGAGCTCACCTGCGACGACGTTCACCTTGGCGCGGTGCAAAAGATGCTGGACGCATTGTGCGATCGATTCGGTTCCGACGCGTCTTTCGACCAAACCATTGAGATGGACGGGTACTATTGCATCTCGCCCCTCTTGGTGCTGTTGGCCAAAGTCAAAGCTGCTTCGTTAGCTTTCAAGGCCAATAACTTATACTACTACTTCCATTTTTACTGGTTTCATTTCATTGATGAAAGCGATTTGGTCGATTCGTGCTTGATCCATAAGATTTAGCACTACTTATGGATCAACGCGGCCCTTGTTTTGTCTCCCGCTTCTTCTTGGCTTTCGACCACGGGACCATCGTCGAGGTAGCAAATATAACACACTTGCATTAGAGAGGTTAAACACGCCACGAGGCGCATACTGACTACCATTCACTAAAGTACTAATTGTAAGTATCTCCACTAAGGAATCGGAACCTTTGACACGGCACACACGCAGAGTGTGTGTGTTTGCAATGGGTCAAACTTACGCGCGACCCAATTGCTCTGCACACTGCAGAACAGGGCTTAAGCTAACATTACGCCACCAACGGCGCAAGTCGAGATGGCCGGTACTACGCTTGGTTGTTGAGGCCATGAACTTAGATGACTGCAATGCGATCACCTTGTCGCAGCTGCCTCCACCAGGTTAAGGCATAAGATAAAAACTGACCCCGCAGCGTCATTGTCGACATTGCTAGGGCATATCGGGAGGCTGTTCTTCAGGTGCTTAAGAAGCATGAGAAATTTGTGCTGGTTGACGTGAACCGAGCCCATGATTCCGCCGCCATCAAATGACAGTCCAATTCGTTAAGCATAAAAATAGTGGACGATGAGATTCGGATTTCTGTTTTGCCAACCACGTCCAGGCGCAGGTCGCAGACAGCAAAACCCGTGACGAAGCAAGAATATCCCAGTGTCGATGTACACGAGAAAAGTTGCCTAATAGGGGCTGAAAACGGGTCGAAGAGGATTGAGTTGAGCTTGACCAATGACACATCGAAATGGACACTTCACACGTGGACATGGCATTGCAAGGGTGGGATTTTTGGTCATGCGTGCATAGCGCACTTATAAGGTGGTGATTCATGCAATTTACGATACAACGATGGGTCCTGCATAAACTAATAAAGCTCCTCACGACGTTCAGAATGCATGACACGGGCGATGAGCTACGAGACTTCAAAAGTAGGCCAAGCTGGGTAGAAATTACATGAAACATCGCATTATAGCTCATTTTGTCAACCAAAATTGGAATAAAAGCTCAAGCAAATCGTATATATGAGTGTTAACATTGCGATGTGCTTTCCATTGTTGCTTCAGTGGATACATATGACCAACATCAGAATGGCTGCTTGGTTGTTTACGCCGGCGTTTCTACTTTTTAAAAACACCCAGGTATATGTCGTAATTTACCATCCAAACAGGCATTTGATCACCGTATAAGAGCATCCCCACCGGTGCGACTGTAAACGCTATTATACAGTTCTATCCGGACTATTTCCAGTTTTGACAACCCCACCGGGCGACTGTAAAATACAGGAAACTGTAAAATTTTACCGCGAGACGCCAAATCGGCCAGATTTACAGTCGCGACTGTAAAATACAGTTTTGAATAATTAGCCAATAACATGCTATCAATGGATAATTTTGTCCAATCATGTGCGTTATGGAGTCAATAATCAAGTTGGTTCAGCAATGGAATCAGCCAAGGCCGTCCGTGGCTCCAACTTCACGTCCAACGAAGACTGCCAGCTTCTGCGGTCATGGATCAACATCTCTCAAGATGCGTCCAAGGGTAGTACTCATCACGCATCACCACACCGTTCATGATTCGTTTAAACAGCGGTCTGGCCATTCGAAAATGACGGCGAAACTTGGCTTCGCGGTAGATTGATTGGGGTCAAAGTAGTAGGTAAATCCGAGCATGCGCAGCCTCGCTATCGCGTGGTAGGTTTGGCTGGCGGTTGGCAATAGAGCCTTTAGGGCGCGCAGAAGACTGATGAAAGCCAAGAATCTCCCAAGCTTGATCCATGTCATCATCGTCGTCCTCCCACGCCATCGCGTCAGGCGTTCATTTCCGGATAATAACATTATTCGGATGTTTTACAGTTTTACTGCTGGGGTTGACAAAAATCAAAATACAGGAACTGTAAAACGGTATTTTACAGTCTGATTATGCAGTCGCACAGTCGCAACTTGAATCGCATGTTTGAATAATGTTGCCTTTTGTACATAACGTGATAAAGAAATTATCCGGATCGTTGTGCGTTTGTGTTGTCCAATTGTGACGTACCTGGTCATGGACACCAGTATCGCCACTTCCGTTCTTCCTTGGACCATGAAACTTGCTTTTCTATTCGCGTTTATCGCTACCGCCGCCGGCAAGACCTACCGATGTTTGGAAGGGAAGGACTTCCGGTTTCACGGGGACATCAGCCACGTCGTCGGCGGCACTCCCGAGGCCTGCCAGCAGGCGTGCACCCAGACCCCAGGTTGCAACGCAGTGGCCACGGCGCTCTTTGACGGCAACTGCTACCTCAAGACCTTGAGCCAAGAGAGCCAGTCGCATTTGATCGACAAGGCCGACGTCATCACATGCATCGACTCGGCGCTGGCACCTGGTGTCGGTGGCGCCGCCACCAAAGAGAGCTTTCGTGTTTCGTCTAATGATGATGACGATGATGCCTTGTTTGATGTCGACGACGAAGCGGATGCTGATGTGTTTTACGACCAAGACCAACGGGACGTGCCGGACAGTGTCGCAGATTCGCTATATGCCGACGACGATGGCGCGTTCTACTATGACAGCGATTTCGACGACGAATCCGATGTGGTCGGCCATCACGCCAAGTCGGGTGACGACGATGACGACGATGACGATGACGACGATGACGACGATGACGACGATGATGACGATGACGACGATGACGACGATGACGATGACGACTATGTCCAGTAGAAATGCAGATGTATGAGACAACCAGGTTTGCATAATTTATCTTTGTTCGCAATCATTGTGTGGTTGGGTTCTTGCTACGAAAGACATTTCAAGGTGTGAGATACTTGAATTAGCCAATTAACCAAAAGTGAAATATAAGTTAGCGTAACTTTATGGTTTGTGTATTCCTGGTCGTAACTACTAGTAGTATGTAGTAATACTAACGTTATGTCTTACTTCGAAGTAATACAGTAGTAGTTAGCCTGTGACACGAATGGACCAATTGGAGGCCGTCTCGAGTTCAATCGAACGACAAATAAAATTTCAATTTAAACGTGGTGTTTGTATACCATTGAAGTACTTTAATTGATTGCCACAACTTCCATCCACATGACATTTCGAGATTTGAGCAAGATGAGGACAATGCCGCTTGGACTCATGTCCGTCGTGACCGCCATCGCGTTCGGTGCTGGGTACGCCCCTGCGACGTCCTACGACTGCATCAAGGGCAAGGACTTCTATCGTCATGGCGATCTCTCCAACCTTGCACTACACTCGGTGGACGACTGCCAAGACGCGTGTTCGGTCGACGTGCGATGCAACGCCCTTGCATTCAACCGAGGTCGGTGCTACTTGAAGGCCGTGGTCCAACAAGACGTCCAGACCAAGATCATCAACCACAACGATGTCATCACGTGCGTCTTGGCGGCACAACGCACCGCATCCAACCAGGAGAAGCTCGTCAAGCAGCGGGGCAACCACAATTGACTACTTGATCAAACCAAGCCCATTCACCTCGCATTAGCATGGTTTTCTAGCTGTACTATGTTCGAAGCCCTCCACGTCCATGAATTTCGACTTCTGGCCTTCCGCTGGGACACAGGGCATGCGTAATACTCCTGCTAACGTTAACTGCACCGGTTTCCATCTCGTGGTTTCCAGTAAGCTCATCCTCGGAAGCGCATCGTGCCGCTTCTGGGAGTCAGACATAATCTTCCCTAACATGCATATCGATTAAAGGTTCTTCTGATTACAGTCCACCAGTGGTGGACCGACCGGAACTACGACGACCTCCTTGCGCTCGTCCGCGCTCGCCAGCGTCTCCTCCGCCGTGGTATCTCTCTGGTCGGGGTTTCGGGGTTCACAAAGTAGTGCACTTTTGAATGTGGGTTCGGCATGTTCGGATAACATATACGGATACTCACCCTGTCATTTTTGCAAAATGGGCGCTTCCAAGTAACTTTCAAAAGCGAACGGAGCCAATCAGAATCGTTTCCGTCGTACTTTGACGATGGCGAGTCATGTTTTGATCGTGTTTTGGGTATTTGTGCATCCCAAGTAACGTCGTTAGGTTAAAATGATTGGATTACGTTTTACTTGATCTACTACATAAGTATTGGATATTCTACTCGGGGTAATCGCCCATATGTGAGTACCGTATAGTGTATATGTATTGGAACGGATTAATCTATTGCGACTCCTGTAATAACTTATATTTACTTGTAATAACTTATATTTTACTTGTAATAACTGATATTTACTTGTGAACATGTTGGGTATACTTGATATACTTTAAAAAAAGATTATCGTACTTAACACGTATTTAAATCCAAACTTTGGACGTATTTTTTGGTGTTGATGGATTTCTATGAAATTATGTTAACGGTACTAGTAAATCTCTATCGTTATATTTGGTTCACAAACACTGGCAAGCCGTAGCAGACGGCCGCGAGTCCATTCAAACAGGGCAACTTGCACTCGTGTCTGGCATATGTAAGCGCTTCCGCAAGCGATAGACCAGTATCGAACCACTTGGTCAGCAACGCCAGACTCAATCTGTCTAAATCTCGATCGGTCACATCCCACAGCATCCCCACGACCGCGGGGCTTTTGGCTCGGACATAGCTGGCTACCATTCCTTCGGGTTGGTACAGACCAGCATTGGTCAGCTTGGCGCTACTGCACCCCATGAGCAGCGCTACTGGACACGCGGCTAACTTGCCCACCAATTCCCTGCTAATATATCGTTCCCCGGATCCGTGGCCGCAGTACAGAAACACATCGGCTTGGCCCAAACAAGAAACGGTGTCGCACACGTTATCGCATGTACTCCAAAGCCACTCGGTTCGCCCGCGTGACAAAAAAGGGTCCAGAAACTGCGCCGTGTGCACCAAATCCCCGCCCGGATTCACCATATAATGCACGCGTTGCCTCGATATACTAGTAGTGGGTGTGACAAAAAGGGGTGCAAACGACAAGAGTCTGGACACGGGAAAGGCCGGCGGGAACAGCCCTTCCCAGGGAAACCCAGCCAAATTCGTCGACAAGAGCGTTAGTCCTGGCACAAGAGTGTTGGTCGTTGCATGACGTGGCAGCAGCAGCGGCGAGTACGGCACGACCCCGCAAAACACCAGCCCTTCCTTGACCTACAATATATATATATTATAAATTATATAGATGGATAGATGTACCAAGTCTAGGCTGAGCCAATTATGGGCATAAGTATACAAAAGCGAAGATATAAGCTCCTTGTGCATCGGAGGTAGAGTCGGATGGCGGGTAAATATCGCCGCCGCCGACACTTGGACATCTCCAGGCAGTGGATTTGGACGAGGAACCAGCAGACACCGATAGAACGACAGGTGCGTCTACATCAGGTGTAAGCTAGTACTTTGATTACTACTAGTAGTAGTACTAGTACCAGAGCCTTGTCGACCAGGAGCTGGAGCTGTGCGTCCAAATGTACGCGTTGCTTCCACCAGTGCTTTTTCTGGGTAGATGACCACGCTGCCGCCTCTTCCGCGGTATGCCCCGATAGAGTTTCCCTATAAAATACTAGCATTTAACAAACAAATATACGGATAAAATGCATAAAATCTAAAACACGAGTTTAGCAATGAACTGTATCCGATAATATAATCATTCATACCAACTTACAAAAAACAAATGTATCCATTAAATTGGACAACTACTTCCTATATCATAATAACAATTCATAGAAAAAAATAAATAAAACGAATTCATCGATTCCTTTGGAACAACGAGATCCCATATTTCATTCATAACTTTTTTTATAAACATCGATTTCAGAAACGATTCAATTGGACAACGGGGGATATATCCATTATATATATATATATATATATATATTACACCAGGACCTACTTGGAGCGTTCAACGAGCAAAGTCAAGGCCTTGGTGAATTTATCCACGGCAAACTCTGGCAGCACCACCGTCACAGGACATCCTCCATTGTTCTACACATCATAATATATATTTATTATATATATATATATTATATATATATATAAACCTGAATCCGATGTACGAGCAGGGAGGTCGCGTTGTGTTTATGGAGCACGAGGACGTTCCAATTGGGTGGAATCGGCTGCGATTTCCACATTGCCTGGTACGCCGCCGTGTCTTGGCCAATGTCTGCACTAGTACTAGTACTAGTAGTAGTACTAGCCACGCCCGAGAGCAGCCAACTCATCCGCCACTGCAGCTGTGTATGCATTTCTGGGTCTGCAATGTACTGTAAACTGGCCAAAATCGTGTCGATATATGTCTTGTAAAAGTCGCCAGTGTACACACTCCGCCGGGTCTCGCGGTACAATCCGTACGCTTCTTGCAGCGAGTGCAAGCTCTGAGAAATTCCTTCTCGGGAGTGTTTGAGTCTCAATGCATGGCTCAAAGTCTGCAGCGCCAGCCGAGATTCCACCGGTGTGAGGCTCAATTTAGCTGCTTTTTGGCTCGCGAGCACCGGATCTGGCATACTCAGTGCCAGTTTACGGTACACTTGCGCTAGAATATCCTGGAACTGGGGGTACATGGGCACGCTCTTGGCTTTGGCTTTTTTGTACGAGTGAGTGGCCAGAGATATCGTCTTGGCCAGTGTATGGATGTCCCCCTGTCACACATTAAAGTACGATTCAGAGGTGATGTATAGATAGATATTGCCAAGTCGATATATTCGAACTTGGAGAGTTTGGGTGCTCAATCGAATGAGCAGAAGGACCAAATCGGTGATCGACCAATCAAAACCCAGATCACGAATCAAGTAGCCAATCAAAAATCCACTCTTCGACCAATCAAACATCGAATGTTAGTGTGTGAATGAATTTAGTGTGACACTGGACGTGTTTTACATACAAAAGTCAATACAAACAATCGATAGATTTGGCAACAAAAGTCAACCAAATTTGGGGACAATATACACATTTGAAGTCGAACGTTTTCACCGGGTCAAACTATAAAAATCGATGATTGGTTGAAATATTCTCGTTCGTGCAAGTTGATTGGCCAAAACAACACGAAAACCACTCAAATGATCCCAACTCGAGTATTTTTATTTTAAATTTAATTATACCCCGTTTCAAGGTTATATTTTTGTACCTGCAGAATATCCTCGACGCAGCTCTGCTTGAGCTGATACACCTCGTTTACGGGAATTGCTCGTATTTGTGTGAGTTTGGCGTCGGCGGCGGCTAGCTGGCCCTGGCGCACCTCAAATTCCACCGTTAAAGCCGCTACTTGTCGACTCATTGGCAGCATATCGAGCTTGGACACTAGTGATTGCAGGTACTCGAGGTACAAACAAGCCCTACGGATCGGTCATATATATATATATATATTTAGGTACACTTGCGCTAGAATATCCTGGAACTGGGGGTACATGGGCACGCTCTTGGCTTTGGCTTTTTTGTACGAGTGAGTGGCCAGAGATATCGTCTTGGCCAGTGTATGGATGTCCCCCTGTCACACATTAAAGTACGATTCAGAGGTGATGTATAGATAGATATTGCCAAGTCGATATATTCGAACTTGGAGAGTTTGGGTGCTCAATCGAATGAGCAGAAGGACCAAATCGGTGATCGACCAATCAAAACCCAGATCACGAATCAAGTAGCCAATCAAAAATCCACTCTTCGACCAATCAAACATCGAATGTTAGTGTGTGAATGAATTTAGTGTGACACTGGACGTGTTTTACATACAAAAGTCAATACAAACAATCGATAGATTTGGCAACAAAAGTCAACCAAATTTGGGGACAATATACACATTTGAAGTCGAACGTTTTCACCGGGTCAAACTATAAAAATCGATGATTGGTTGAAATATTCTCGTTCGTGCAAGTTGATTGGCCAAAACAACACGAAAACCACTCAAATGATCCCAACTCGAGTATTTTTATTTTAAATTTAATTATACCCCGTTTCAAGGTTATATTTTTGTACCTGCAGAATATCCTCGACGCAGCTCTGCTTGAGCTGATACACCTCGTTTACGGGAATTGCTCGTATTTGTGTGAGTTTGGCGTCGGCGGCGGCTAGCTGGCCCTGGCGCACCTCAAATTCCACCGTTAAAGCCGCTACTTGTCGACTCATTGGCAGCATATCGAGCTTGGACACTAGTGATTGCAGGTACTCGAGGTACAAACAAGCCCTACGGATCGGTCATATATATATATATATATATATATTTGATATACTTGGTGCGGGATGTGGCCAAGTACACGGTCGCGAGGTGCGTTAAACTGGTCACGACGGCAGCAAACGCACCGAATTCGTGGTTATGCACCAGTTGCAGGTACATTTTGGACGGTGGGTGCTCATTTGAGGGAGCCACGATAGCCTGATGTAACCCCATCGCATACGCGCGTTGATAGGCTAGCTTGGAAAGGTGCTTATATTTGGTTTCTGCGACAGCGTAATCGCCTCGATCCAACGCAGTAGACGCCGCCGCCTTGATCTCGCTTTCTTCTTGTTCATATTGGACAGTCTACTTGTTTATTTAAAAAATATATATCTCGTTGAATCATACATTATCTCATTGACCAATCGTTCCAATTTGAATAATGAACTATTTTATTTCTGTTTTGACAACTATTGTACTGGCGAATAGCATCTAAATTTAAAAATATAATAATAATCATCCAAATTTAAAAATATAATAATAAAACCAATGGATTCAAATTTGGCACGAACGACAAGAAATATTTCAACCAATCCTCGATTAATAATCATCCAAATTTAAAAATATAATAATAATAATAAAACCAATCGAGTCAAATTTCATACGAACGACAAGATATTTATAACCAATCCTCGATTCGTATAGAATATGACCCACAAATCAATATGTTTATCGTCATATGCGTATATACCCTACATACATTGCATAAGCTTAAAAGATGACTCCCATCGATTCTCGAATCAACTGTCCATCTTTCAACGAAAAAAGGACAATATATATATTGTCGATTTGATACAAATTTGGGGAGGGGGTGCAATCGAATCGCGCCAACCAAACCGATCCACAATCGATCTGATTGGTTGAATTTCATTAAGAAGGTTTTGATTGGTTAATTATTTTGAGCTCATCTGAAGTAGCCAATCAAATCGATTTAAATTCCAACGAGAAACCACGCCACAACACGAAATTTCACTCGAAAGCACAATATATATATATATACATAAACGTACGTAGAGGTCGGCGAGCCCGAGCAGCGTCGCACCCGGTTGCAACACTGTCGCAGATTCTTCGTCTGGACGGTTTGTCCAAATTAAATGCAGCGCCTCCACAGGATCGAAATGCGATACGGGGAGGCTGGCGTACCGAGCTACTAGCTGCAGCTCCATGTGCAATACCCACTGGTAACACCCCCCGTCTTGAAGCAATGTATGGTACGAGTCGATAAAGTTTCGGGGGTTTCCGTCGACGATATACGTTGCCAGAGTTTCCACCCGCCGCCGGCGAACACTGGTAGGGTCCACGACCTTCCACAGCGAAAGCCCATACTGTAACATGGTGCATTTTGAGCCAGTTTGCCTGCGACACTGTACGAGCCACACATGCTCCACTTGATTGGCCAGCAATGGCGCCATTTTCGAATACAAGGGCGGCACAGACTTGAGCGAGCTGCACCCGACTTCTGGAGCAACTTTGTATAGAATTTGCAGGTATTTCTCCACGGGAACGTGCTGGAGCAGGGCGCCGGCGGCCATCGCGTCCACCGCAAGATCCCATTTGGCCAGATGTTGATAACTTAGACCCAATAGAAGGTAACATTTGGGAAAGAACGGAAGTAGCACACTGCACCAGTCGATTACGGCCGAAAACAGCTCCTTTTTCAACCATTTCCCAGCCATGTAGTACCAATCTCGGTCTGCCATGTCGTTAAACCCAGGGACAGAAGCGTATGCTACGGCTCTTCGTAAATGGAATAAAGCCCCCGATGGATCATCTTGATATGTTCGAATGAGTAGGCGGAGGTACAACAGTTGCTGGGGTCGAGGTTGGTCCAACTGGCATGACCATTGGTATAGTTGGTCGTACCTATTATACTCAATAAAAATAAACCAAAAAGATCGATAAATAGGCAAAAAAAGAGAATAATAATAAAAAATAGAGATCAAACATGTACAAATGACCAACTATATACGTACATTGATGAAAATATATATATCAAAAGGCAATAAAAAAAGAGAAAAAAATCTAAATTCTCTGGAACATTGAGAAAAGCTCGATATAAAACCAGTACAACCGACCAAGGGAAATAAATACTTGGCATTCAAATTTTGACGAAAATACTAATCATAAAAAGATGGAAAAAACGATCAAAATCGACGAAAAAGAGTCCAAAAATCGATTAAAAAAGTCGAAATCGACGACGGCAACGTACAAACGACTGAGGGTAGGACATAATTCAATGACTTTTTTGGCGTTTCGAAGGGCCAGGGGGACCAAATGCGACGGCAACGGACTGGAAAAGTCGACCTCGTGGGGGGTCCATTTGCGTGTGGATTGGATGGCAAAGAGCTCCAGAAGATCCGGATACGGGCACTTGGGCGTGAGAAGGGCGATGACCGAATCGACGAGGCGGAAGTTGGTGCAATTGCTCAGCCAGTGCTCGAGCCACAAAAAGATAGACACCCACGACTCGGTGGGTATGGTCTAGTTTTATCATATAAAACCATGATAAAATAGAATAAAAATACGCAAAAAAATAGAGTACCGTGGGAGACAGACGGAGCAATTCGCAAATACGATGGGTCATGTCGCAGTAGAGCGCGTCCTGCTTTGCTTGCGAGTACTTTTCATACATCATCACGGCTTTGTACATCTAAATACGATCAAAAACGTCAATATTTGGATAAATGGGGTCAATATTGGCTGAAAAGTCAACAAATATGGTAAATTTTGGCTAAAACATCAACAAATTGAGTCAATATTTGACTGAAATTGAGTCAATTTTGGCTAAAACGTCAAGAAATTGACAACTTTCGCTGAAATGTCTATAAATAGAGTCAATATTTGGCTGAATAGTCAACAAATACAGTCAATATTTGGCTAAAACGACGAGAAAGTGAGATTACCTGCTGGACAAGGACCCACCAGTGTGCGTTGGCGTGTACGAGGCAGCGAAGCCCTTCCTTGCGCAAGTGGAACACGATCGACGGGGATGACTGGCCGCTCGCGTGCTTCCAAATGATGCGGTAGCACGAGTCCCATGTGAGCTTGGACAGCGACGAAGATGGAAGGGACAGCGGAAGTAGATGCACGTGTTCGGGCATGTCCAGCTGTACCTGCAGACACACCAGCACCACCTTTTCTAGGAACGGCGTCAGCGGACCTTCGGCACTCATGCGCTTGGCGACGGCTGCCCAGTCGATGGACGTGTCGGTGGTCGGGGTGGGGATGATCGGGAGAAAGTTCAAGCTTGAGAGACATTCACACACGTGATGCCACACCAGCGAGCGGCTGAGAGAGTTCGAGTCGGTGTGGGGCATCGCATCAAGCAGCTTCTTGGCGAGTTGGAGGTGCATGGTTTCCCACGTGAACGGCTGCTTGAACGTGACCATGTCGCGGTTGAGGTTGAGAACTAGGAGACTGGCAAGAAGGAGAGACGGCAAGTCTTCGTTCTTCAGGGCGAGCTGGAATCCCTGCAGGCACAAGCTCGGGGACTTGGAGATGGGGACTGGCGCAGCGATCGGTTCGCGAGTATCGACGCATGGCACCAGCCGCTCGAGGAACCGCGCGTGGACCGTGAGAGTCTTCGGGGATGGAGATATGGACACGAACATCTCCAAGGCTTGCAAACTGTACGTCTCGGACGCCGCATCGCCCTCGCGCCGCCGCAAGGACTTGACCACGGCTTCCATCGTCGCCTGTTTGGTGGGAAATTCAAATATTTCCAACTCGGTTATCCGGATGCTTTCGAGTGACATGGATATCCGGTTAACGCCGAGCATGTATCCGGAAGTGTGATCCTTATATTTTCTTAGCAGGCAGCATGGAAGGAGCGTCACCACCTGGGGCTACCACGAGCCGACACTAGCTCCTCCCCCCAAGTTGACCCTATCGCAGCCGCACACGTCCACACTAGTTCCTTGCATCATCTCTGGGTGAAGATGCGGTCTCCCATGCAATGCCTGTTATGGCTAGCGCTCCATGAAGGGTGCCTCTCTTAGCAAGAAGAACAGGAGATGAAGAGTCTTATCCTGCATCATGCAGCCAAATGCAATGCCACTCGGACGATGTGCTTACAAGAAGGACGCCGCCATCGGCGGCAAGTACTAGCTTGTTATTTCAGGGTTTACTCGCACGCTATGTAGTGCACAGGACCGTCGTTTAGATGTGCACACTACTACTAGTAATACTAGTAGCTGGTCGCTTCGCCGTATAATGCTCGACCGCCACAACGTACGCTTCCACCGACGGCACGGGACTATCTTGTTGTTTGCGTAGGACCTGCGACGCCCACTTGCGCTCTGTGTATTCACACAGCTACAAACCATTTAGTAATACTAGTAGTACTACTAATCCCCACCTCTTTGATATCTCGACACGACCACGTTGCGGTGGCAGCTGCCAACTGATGCAAGTCCTCGTCCGTCAGTTGTTTGGCATACCTCCATACAAAAGTCAAGTTTAAAACCCTCGACGAACACTAATTACCGGTGAAATACCGCCTCCCTTGTGGCTTTGTCGGGTAAATCGTATCGAATCGTCAGGTTAAATCGACTCAATAACGCACTGTCGAGGTCCTGCTTGCGGTTCGTGGCCGCAATCAACGTCACTACGTCCAATTTCGCATAAAAAGTGTCAAATTTCAGGGAAAATTGACCAAAAACGACAGAAAATCCACAAAATTTGGGAAATTGTATCACCTTTCTGCGACGAAGCAAACCCCTCGACCTTTTGCAGCAAAACCGACAGCAGTCGCCGCGTGGCTTCATGCATGGTTCCCGACGATCGATCGGACGCCAATGCATCAATCTACATGGACTCCCTCATCATCCTCTCCATATCTCCATATTCGCATCCAAATATGAATGCATCATGCATGTGTCTTCTGCATATCCATCTACCTCGTCAATGAACAAGATGGCGCCGGTCTCGAGTTGGTCGCATGCGTCGAAGATCTTGGCCAGCTTTTGCTCGCTCTCGCCGTACCACTTGGACACGATGCTCTCCACGGGAAGGTGGATGAGTGGCACCTTGGCTTGCTATGTACAGTACATTGTGCAGAAACCTCCGTAAGATGCTGAGGAGATATATCATGCAGAAACCTCCCTAATATGACATCGTGTCCATGAAGGGTCCATGCTTACCGACGCAATGATCCGCGCAGACAGCGTCTTCCCGGTGCCCGGCGGGCCTTCGAACAGAATCGCGCGCGGGCGGTTGGATTCGAATCTGGGAAATACACGTTGAAGTGGCTGGGACATTGGGAAATACACACCGTGCCCGTGTATGTTTGGCAATGTTTTCGAAAAAACTGGGATTTTGCAACGCCAACACGACCGTGTCGTCGATTTCTCGCTTCACTTCGTCATATCCAGCCTAAGACGCGATGAAGATGGCGACACGAGTCCCGAGGAAGGAACGTACCAAGGCATCCCATGTCAGGTCCCCCGACGTCGACGAATCGTACACGTCCAGTCCGAGCTGCTGGAGCGTCGCGATCGCCCCCTCGGATGAAGCTTTAGGCGTCACAGGTCGATGGGACAAGTAGGCGTGCGTGTACGCAGCCAAGACAGCGTCCGCTTCGGTGCGGGAGATCGGAAGGTCCTTGAACAGCACGAACAGGTTGTCCTTGGACTTGGTCGGGAGCCATTGGAACGACCCCGAAGCATCGGTGAAGATGTAGTTGAGGGTATCGTCGGTCCTACAAGTAGATGAGATAGAGAACAAGGACGTGGTGTGTACGTACGGGGAGGGAACAACTTCAACGGGAGTGCCAACTGCGCGGAGGAAGCGGTGGACGGGAGTGTCGGTCGAGCTGGACGGCGATTGAAAGGAGAGGCGAACCACATTCGTTTGGTGGGAGACTTGGATGGGGTGCGTCGGGACGTTTGGATGGGACTTGGCAAACTCTTGTCGGAACGCAGCCAGGTTCCGTTTGAGGTAGGCTGTGAGTTCTGGCGGGGTCATCTGCACATGTCGTCTTGAGATCTTGCGTCGTCTTCGTCAGCCTTACCTTGTCGTCGGACGAGCAGGTGACAGCCGATGCAGTCCAAGCAGCCGACACCGCGGCCATCGCGGCAGTGCGCTGGCGCAGCAAGAGTTGCTTCCACATGCCCACTTCAAATGAGCGCCATCCGGATAAACCATCAAGAGCGCAATCCCAGACCTATACAGTAATCAAGTATCAAATCCAGTCTTCCGCCAATTATAATGCACAATCGAATTAGTGTGTGATTTAAATTAGTGTGACACTGGACGCAACAAATCTTTGCATACAAAAGTCAGTACAAAGAATCGATCGATAGATTTGGCGAATCAGCACAAAAGTCCAAATTTTGGGTAAAAGGACATTCACATTTCGCAAACATTTGAAACATTTGACAATTTTTGGGATTCTATTCGATGTAAATTAGAGTATATATTTGGGTCAGTTGATGTCTTTCCTAAGGTATGTATGTGCACACGATGAACCGGGTTCACCGTTGTATTTGTAGCCGTTAGTTTGTCCTAGTAGACTGGATGCAAGATGGAAGGCGGAAGCAGAGGAGTTCAAGGATGGACAGAATCGGGGGGGTCGTCGAATACATATATATGTACATAGAGTATGTACTGTATACCTTCGCCATGTCCTGATAGAGTTATACTTTTGACACAGGATACACATTAACAAGCTACAGTGGTCTGCGATGTGTCTACTCGCCATTAGAGGAAATGTCGATAACGTCATCGTCATCGTCATCGTCATCGTCATCGTCGTCGTCATCGTCGTCGTCATCATCGTCATCATCATCATCGTCATCGTCATCATCATCGTCATCATCATCGTCGTCATCATCATCGTCGTCATCGTCCTTCTTGGATTCGGCGGCGGTTTCCGTTAAGACACGTCCATTGGTCTCGGCATCGATGGCGGCGACGGCGGCATCGGCGGCCACTTGCGCGACTTGGTTCACGGACTCCACTTGGTCGTTAGCGGCGACGAGGGCGGCGGCGACGAGCGCGAGGAAGGCGAAGACTTTCATCTGTGGAGGACGTGGAGCAATGCTGAATGACAACTAGGACGAGGAGGTCGACTTGCAGTTGGTCGCTTGTGGTCGATTGATTTGTCGTCGGGTGGCAGGGCTCGACCAATCAAAACGCACGGAATCTGTCGCTCATCGTGCGAGTGATTTTTCACAATATTTTGGTGGAAGTTTGCTAATATGAATTGTCCACAATTTCCACCCCAATATATGTTATCAGATGGGACAAAATCTATGTACCGAAAACCAAATTTGGGTGGTCATTGCATGAAGTTATACAGGTATCATTTGTCTAGAGGTTGCATTTTGTCCAATGAAAGTGGATTTAGGGTTTGATTGGATGAATAAGTGGCACATGATCTCCGGAGTACTGATTTCCTTCCAGGTTTAGAACGGCCAAGTTTGAATGATTTGCACAATATATTAAGTTTTGCGGTTATAAACTTGTTGGAACAGTAATTTGACATGGCGGCCATGCCAGCAGGCCTACGTCTGCCACGACTGAAACCCCGGCCTCACCCAGTACCACGACCAAGGTTCCTTGTTTCTTTACTGTTAGTGTACTGTACAGTTTCTGGCTTGTTGCGCTGGAAAAGAGCTATTCCCTCGAAATAACACCGAAGGTGTTGCTACGTACTGTACTACAGTAATCATTTTGCCCCCAAATCAATACTCCGGATAAAATTCCGTACACATGTCTTGAGTGAACTAACTACCGGTATGAAGCAACTTCAGTAAGCTTACGGGGTTTCCACAGCTCGTGTATCGTGAGCACAATGGATGTTCTAGTAACGCTAAAGCGATTATAGCGGTGTCAGCTGCCGTCTTAATCGACGACTAAGCGTCCTAGTGGGTTAGGTACAGTTTAGTAATTCCTAGTACGAAGTATTTCATTTCTGTAAACTTCGTTCCCGGATAATATATAAATTATCCGTAACTTCGAAGAGTAGTACAAGTAGTAGAAAATTACGGTTGTGTTTACAGTCGAGCTGGAGTTGCTCTAAGAGCATCTCCACCGCTCGATGTAGTAGCGATATACCTTTCGGGTACCAACTAACCAAAGTAGCCCAGTGTCCATGAGTGGAATTGTTTCGGAATTGATTTCACAGTTAGGAGGATTAAAATTCGTCTGAAACGTGCTGTTGCCGTGCCCTTGCTTAAGGCTCGCGTAGTAAACACGGGTTTTGAATCTATGTGGGGGCTAGATCGAAGTTCCCACGTTCACATGATACTACATGGCACTGGTAACACCGGTTACCAAGAATATATTATACAATCTAACGTTACAGTAAATACAGCCCATATGCATGGGCGTCGTACGTATTCTATACGTAGTAACTAACAAAACCTACAGTATCAGTTATAGCTTTCTACTGTTCCTAAGCATATACTAGTACTACATAGTACTACCGGTACTGTAGTACTACCGGTAGTATGTATTCACTACCCACGTACAGTATGCATATTCACTACCCCCCAATATCACCCCTTAGTATATTCACTACCCCCTGATTTTCACTACGATTCGAACGGTTGGTATGCTCACTTCAACTGCAATTGAGACCACACAAATATATCATAACAAACACGTCCAAGCACGTTATAGCGTGGTTTCACATATTGGAGAGATTTTCGGTTGAGATATTTGTGTAACAACTAGTTACGTTTTCTGTTGTTGCACAACTGTAGCTGTAGCACGGGCTTAGCATTCTGTCATGTTGGTTATTCATGTTAGCACACAAATCTTCGTACTATTAATACCTCCGATTCGAAATGATTGGTAGGTTTCACTTTGTTGGTCTTGAACACTCAAAACATGGGTGAATATGTCACTTTGCGGACACCGTTCGGACAATTTCAGTCATACATACTTGGCATTTGTATTGGACTTAAGGGGAACATATTTTGTCCGAATGAAAGTGTCCGAACGGAATATGTTCGGACATACTTGTGTATTGTATTAACCCGCATAAAACGATCAGCATTACAGTAGCGAGCGACGACAGAGCATCCGCCCACAAAATTGCGCACACCGCAGCGTAGCGGAGGTCGTGTGTATAATTTTGTGCAGGCGGTGCCTTGGCGAGGAGTGAGCCCCAATCGTGCACTTCACCGAATGTCCAATCGATTCCTCTTGTCGGGAAAAGCGGCAGGTAGGC